ATTTTAGTTTAGAACGCCATTCATATATTAAAATTTGTTTACTCGAGTTAAAGCATAAATAAAAGAGAAACCTTTACCTTATAAATTCGAAAGTTTATTGATAATGTAAATTGAAACATAGTGCTTGCATAATAGTAACCTCTTGACCGCTATTTATATCATTAACCCAAGTAATAATAATAGTTCACACGATTCGTATACCTAGTATCTTTTGTTTACGATCGAAGCTAAATCGGACTTAACCCTAACAAGCTCTCCCACCGATCGTAACACCGGATAACCCCAACCACTAATCTATACGTATGAGATCTATTAATATAAGAAGTTAATATGATAACCACTTAGACATATGACTAACACTAAATTATGAGGTTGAATATCATATCGAGAGTTCTATATAGTTTTCCGAGCGTAACAGTGCAACAAGAAATAAAACAAATAAATACATAAATTACCCGAGTTTAACATTTTTTTTTAGTTTCATTGGGAAAACTTAGAAATATTACTTCTTTTTTCTGCGAATATTTTAACTCCTTCATTAAACCCCATAGTCTTTTTTTCTTGAGGGCACAAACCATCAGTAGTATTTTTACCATCTTGAACCATCAATGAATGTTGCGCAGTTGGTCGAATTTTTCTTTCTTTTGTCCATTCTAAAAATTTTTCTTGCGTTATGAATCGAACGTCAGGGTACTGTTTTCGTAATGCTTCTATATCATAATAAAAGGAAAATGGATGTGGTTTACACACTTGAATTCGTGAATTACCAACATTAGCTAGAACCATCGTACGATTTAGAGATCGTGCTAATTGTGTATAAGTGCGAGTATGAAGGTTAGAACGAGTCTCTTGTTCTGGTTGAAAATATGGAAACATGAAACTACATGTTCTTGCTTGACAATATTTCATGTTAATCTTTTCATCTTCCGTTAGTGACGTTTCAACGATGTTCTCATTAACGATGTTATCTTCTCCTATATTATCTTCACCAATATAATCTTCAATTTCAACAATATTATTTTCAACGCTGTTATTTTTACTGATTCTGGTTTTATCTTTAACGATGTCGAAATTATGTATAACCTATATATTGAGACCATTAATATTAATGTATAATAATATAACTTATATTTTAGAAAAATTAGCTGATGCTGAAACTTGGGATCCCATTTAAATCCATAAAATTCCATAGACCTTATATTAATAACTTTAACCTAAATCCCAAGCTAACTAGCACAAAAAAAGAACCTGAAAAGTTCAGCCGACCAATTTCAAATTTAGCTATCACGATACTTTACCTCAGATTCATTTTGTTTTCTCAGTCTTAAGTTAATACTAACAAAGCTCCATAATAAAAGAATAAATAAAATTATATTTATGGATTTTTTACTTATATATATGGATCTTCTATTTATATTATGTCCTTTAGTTAGTAAGCCGTAAATGTTGTAAGGTTTTGATGGCATTTTTATGATATATGTTTATTTTAGTTTAGAACGCCATTCATATATTAAAATTTGTTTACTCGAGTTAAAGCATAAATAAAAGAGAAACCTTTAC